ACAGAAAAAGAGGATTGCACATGCAGGCATGAATCTGCCCTTTATATGCATGTATAGCTTGCTTCTTTAAGTAAGCAACAAAGTCAACATGTGATTTTATTTATTTATTTATTTTTGCTTTTTTTTTTTTTTTTTTTTTTTTAGTGAGGCAATCGGGGTTAAGTGACTTGCCCAGAACATGTTATTTTCAAAGTTGTCCTTGTCTGTGTTTTCTGCTGACCTCCCTTCTTTTTTAGTCTGTGCATCTAAAAAATCCTTCAATGATACTTTTCTTATTTTTTTTCTTTCTGATAAATCTCTTGATAGTCCCCTTTTCCTTCCTAATTATTCCTCCTCATCCCCAATTGAAAGAAAGAAAACCTCAAACCTTGTATCAAATATGCATAGTCAAACAAAACAATTTCCCTTATTGAATAAGTCTGGAAATACATATTGCATTCCATACCTTGGTCGGTAGCATATTTCATCATTGGTCCTCTGGAATTGGGGTTAGATTAGAGTTCTTAAGTTTTTCTTAGAAAACTGAAATTTCAAAAGTTATATCAAACCCAGAGCCTGGGATCCAAGAATTGTGGATAGTGTTTGAAAGTTTAAAGAAATCATTAAAGTAGATATTTATTCTTTCTTTTCCCTGTCTCCAGAAACATTACTATATGATTCCTGAGACTTAACTTAATGTTCTTCGGTGAAAGAGTTCTAACACACTAACTGGCTCTCAAGTGTGGCCTTTAAAATGTAGAAAACAAAAGTTTGCTAGTTAAAAAACTTGCAGATACTTGGCTTTCAGTGTTCTTTAGGTAAAGATGGAAGGTAACCAGACTTCCCATTGAATCAATCTATCACAGATATGAACTAGATGAGAATAGATTTAGACATTTCCACTGGTTCAATCAATCGTTCAATCAATCAATCAATCAGGGAGACAGAAACTAGTGTATTTACTTCTTGTGCCACCCAGTTAGAATGGAGCATAAGGGCCTTATTTTGCTCCTGATTCTTGATCATTTGAGACGGCTTCTGTTGGCATGCCTGTGAGAGTTAATCTTCAGCATAGTTACCATTGATTTGGCAGGTAAAAGGGTCACTTTCAGATGTGGCCCCAGGAAATATGAATTTACTCCTCCTTGTCTAGGAAATTCTTTCCCATCTATTCTTTCAGTGAATTTCAAATGTCTTTCTGAGAACCTGTGTTATAGGGTCAGGACTTAGGGGCTGATTGTCACATGTGTGTGTGTGTGTGTGTGTGTGTGTGTACTTGGAGAAATCGGAATTCCTCTGATTGAAGCTTTGTTGGTTTATTCATGTGAAAGCAGGAAGGGGAAATTGGCAAACCTGGTACTCATTGTTGCTGACCATAATCCGGTAGGCATAAGGCAGTGATGGAACTGGCAGATTCCAGTTAGTGAACATATGTCTGATAAATATGTTTGTGAAGGCTTTCCCTAGCTCCTGTTCTTGAAATCTAAAAGCAGGGAACATTCCCTCATGTTACTCTTTCTAAGTCCTGCACGCAAATGATGCTCAATAAATGTCTTTGACAATGAAAGTATTTTATTTTTGTGATATTGCACCAATATTCTTTTGGCTATATATGGTAATATATAGTTGATAATGGCCAAATATGAACTGAGAACCTTTTTTCTTAAAAAAGCTTTGTACTTTGCTTTGAAGTTAATTGAATACAGTGTTAGGAAAAAAAAACATCTATTGCACGATCCTTTTGTGACAAGGTAAGCTAGTCCGAGTGGCACAATGGATAAAGTGCTGGGCCTAGAGTTGGGAAGACTCATCTTCATGAGTTCTCAGACACTTACCAGCTGTGTAACCCTGGACAAGTCACTTAATTCTGTTTGCCTCAGTTTCCTTATCTGTAAAATGAGCTGTAGAAGGTAATGGCAAACTATTCCAGTATCTCTGTCAAGGAAACCCCAAATGGTGTCACAAAGAGTTGGACACAACTGCAATGACTGAACAACAACAACCTAGTCCTGCTCAAGCATTGTTTTGGGGTGTCTTGAGAAACAGCTCAATTGTTTCCTGTTCCCTAAAGGTGACAGCATAATCCTGGCGGTCAATTTTAGCTTCCTTAAATGTAATAAAGAAATGGCTTTCAAAAGTTAGAATTGATTGAATTGATCTTTTTTTTTGGTAGATTCTAGGCAAGAAACAATGCTCTGTAATAATAACAAATCCATTACATTAACATAAATGACTTTTTATTTTTTAAAAATTTTATTTTAGACAAATGCTAAAACTTAAGTACATAAGAAAAAAAAAGAAACATTATAAACTTAAATATAAAATAATAAAAGAAAAAAACATGTCATGTGCACAGCAGAACATAGGAGAGGATTCAGAATATATAGCAATAACTTTTCATTTCAAGAAAGCCTACATATTAAATACTTTGTGTTACGTTGAAAGCTATCCATCTTTGCTTTTTTGTAGGTTTTCTTTTGTTCTCTGCTGTTTACTTTTTTTTTTGACATAAATGACTTTTAAAAATGAGAGATAGCTTTGCTTTTCCCAAACAAAAAAAAATTAGTTAGAAGAATAGCATTATTTTTATATATTTTTGCAAATTTCTTTAATGTCTGGGTTAATAGAAGACAGTTGGATTCTTCATATCTTCTGCTGCAGTATATCATTTTGGTTGAAGTATATGAAGAAAATCCTACTTTGAATCCAGGTCCTTTAACTGGGGCAGCTAGGTGTTGAAGTGGATAGAGCCCTGGTCTAGAGAATCAGGAAGACTCATCTTCCTGAGTTCAGATCAGGCCTCAGACACTCAGTAGCTCTGTGACCCTGGGCAAGTCACTTGACCCTGTTTGCCTCAGTTCCTCATCTGTAAAATGAACTGGAGAAGAAAATGGAAAACCACTCCAGTATCTTTGCTACAAATAACTGACATAAGATGTTTGCCCTATAAACAGATGGTAATCCTATCCCCCAGTGCCAGCATCCAAAGGACATTCCATTATATTTACTTACAGTAATATAGCTGTGATCTGAGTTTTGTTAATAAATAATATTTTATTTATTATTTAATAAATTATTTATTCATATAATAAATTAAAACATGCTTTAAGTTCATGAATGAAAATGCTGGGCAGCAGTGTCAAATTCAGATAGAAATGAATCCCTGAGGGCCACATCTTGACTTAGAAAACCACAAATTAACATTATCTATGTTTTATTGCATTTTAGTTTATTTTTGTTAAACATTTCCCAATTATATACATTATATATAAATATATAAACATTTCCCAATTATACTTAAATCTGATTCTGGCTGTACTAGGTAGGGAGTTTTGCCTGCTTGAGTCTGACATCTCTGCTGTACAGAATAGTCAAGATGTGGTTCTAGTTGTTACTTAAAGGGATAGGCCATACACAGCATTGGTTATGCCCTGCTTGTTTTAGTCACATCTTTAAACACAGGAAAGTTCGACCCCATCATCTTTCGAATAGGAAGGATGACAGCACATAGAGATGCCAAGTAATAGACTGTGTTATGGGTTTAATACACTCATTTACTCTCATTGTAAAAAAAATAATGAAACTGGTAAAAACTATTTATGGAACCTGAGGAGGACATATTTTGCTGGTTTTAGTTTGTGTATGAAGTTTTGAGTATAGCTCTTCACATAAATACTGAAATGCCTAGCATAAAGAACGCAGCCTGGGGCATACCCCATAAAACTTACAGTGCAATTAAATGAACAATTTCCACTGGAAATAAAATGGCATGTTGGGTGGAATATGAATTAAACTACGCAAAAGCACAAAAGCAGAGCCCTGCAGCTCAGAGTCATGTGCTGGGGTCAGGTGAAGGACCCCCTTGTCTCAATGCTGCCTCTTCTAGGTCAAGGCCAATTAGCAAAGAAAGATAATTGTGGTCTGCATCAAAAAGCAGGTCATTCCAGATTCTGATTAATGTAGTCTCCCCATCATCATCCCCATCTCCACTTGAAAAGCCTAGTGAAATCAAGCAAGAAACTAAGTCTAATATTTAATCACGTTACAAGCATCTCCAATCCAACCAGGGTGGGCATAATTTTTGCATAAGTAACATGTGTTTACCTCCCAAGTGGTCAATTCTAGCTCAGGGTCATCAGGCATAGTTAGTAAAGAGTTAGTTAACAAAGGTTTGTTTAATTAGGAAGCAGCAAAGTCATGAAAACACTCACTGATTTGCACTGTGGAGCACTCTATACCCCCAGCTCAGGCTGGATCCAGGGAGATTAAATGATAATTCACTAACTTGCCCTAGGGGAAAGCAAGGATCAGGGAAGCTTTTAGACTGCAAAGCCCTTGAAACAGATAGAATTATCTTCTGTTTCAATTTGTGTGTTTAGTGTACACAAAGTTTCACTCTCTAAGTACATTCTTGTCTCATTTGGAGTTGAGCTAGCCCTCCCAAGGCACAGAACAGAAGAAAAAGGAATTCCTTTTTCTTCCAAGAATTAGGGGGTAGGGTCAGGAAATGAAATCCTCAAGTTGATTTTTTTCCCCTCTTTTAAAGCTTGAAGATGGAAAACAGAGAATGTTAAGAAATAAATGGGAAATATTGACCACATGGCTAAAATGAGTCGTACTGTCTGCCTAAAAGAATTAAAGTGTAATTCTTGTGTTTGGTTATTTTATTTCATTTTGGTTTTGGCCCATTCCCTCTTCCCTTGCAAAAATGATTCAGCTTGTTATATGGATTTTCCTTGGAAAGAGATATTTTTTCATATTGCATAAGGACATTTCCTGGGGAAGTTTACACTTTTGGCTTGCATGCTCAGATTTACTTGATTCTGGCCTAAATCTCAGCATATCTGATTTACATGCCAAGAGTTTCTTTTGTGGACAAATCTTCCTGCTTCCTGAGCGTTTGCCAGGGGGAGCCTGTTTGCAGGAAGCGATGTGTCCTTAGCTGCTGAGGCAGGCTCCTCCCCATAGAAGCTTTGGGGATGGAAGATTCTGGAAGGGCAGTGTGCAGCCTGTGCTAAAGGCAGGCAGGGAGGGGCCAAATCTGAGTCGGGAAACCTGGCCTCTCCCAGAATTTGTGTCCATGGACAAGAAGTGAAAGTGTTAGCTCGTTATTAGAGAGAGAGAGGATGGGAAAGGCACAGGCTGGGTGAATTAATAGCAGCAGCAGTAAAGCAGCTTTGTGTGAGTGACCCTGGTATGTCCTACGTCTATCTCTTAGACTAAAGGCATAATAAAAAGGCGGCTCATGTAGGTTAGCCCAACCTAACCTAATGTGAAAATCTTTGCTGTTTTATATAGAAAGGAGGTGGTTTGTAGAGAAAACAATAGCCTCCAATCTCCCCCTTGGTAGACCAAGTAAATGAATTAAAATGAACTCTTTTTACTAAACATTTGTGTTTTAAAGACAATAGCTGAGTGACATGCACGGGAATGTTCATTTTCTTTTCATTGTTATCTTTTTCACTTTTGCTATACATCTACAATCCAAAATATTTCTTGTTGCTATTTAAAAATATCTTCCGTAATTAGCAAAATATGCTGTAATTTATCAGGGCATTTTTGGAGCTATGGCGCCAGCTAGTGGCAGCAGAGGGTCCCCACTCATGTCGCCCTTCAATCCCATAGTTGAAAGGGGTTGATTCTTTTCATGATCATAATGGGAGATCACTGCAGTGTGACCGAAAAGGGACAGATAGAGTGATAGGCAAAAAGCGAGGGAAAGGACGAGGGGAAGAGGACGTAAAGACCAGACAGATGTCATCTTTTCTCAATAGGACTTAAAACAGAAATCATTTAAGTGAAACCTTCCAGGCATCATTGATGGAGAAACTGTTGTCTCAGTGAATTTTCAGCCTTGTTTTTGTTGTTGTTTTTTTTCATCTGTAGATATGATTGACTGTATGTTCAGGATATGTAATGATGGTGGAGCCTTCCTGCAAATACTGCACTAAGGAAATGCAGTAAGTCTAACTTTGCTCATTTCTAAGCGGCAGATATTTCTACCATGGCCATGCCTCGGCCTCCACAGTCATTGGTTCAGCTGTGGGCTCTGAGATGAATAACTCTCAAATGGCTAGTAAAGCAGAAACCTCTTCAGTGGGTATTTGTAATTGGACACTGTTAAAAAAAATAAAGAACATTATTTGATAAACAGTCAAGGCAAAATGTGGTTAATTTTGGAGGTAGATTTGGGGCCTGGGGCCAAATCAACATACAACCAAATTTAAGTAATTTATGATGATTTGCAAGAAAATTGAAAAGATACAGTATTTATTTTAAGAACAAAGAGTCATTGGCAGGCCATCTTTTCTGGTTTAATTAAGCCATAACTGATCTTAGTGGGGTTGCGGAGAGCTCTTGAATACTAATAAATAAAATCAGGGTCTGAGGCATTTCTTTCATTAAATACTGGGAGCTGTTTATAACTCTATTACTTACTGCTAAAATCAATTATTATTACTAATACTGTGTTAGAAATTTATAACAAAAAGCAGGCTGAAGGTTGTAAAGAAAACTTTTCTTTTTAAATGTCACACATATTGATGAAGGTCAGCTATAGTGAGTCAGGATAACCTGAATTGAAACTTCTTGTAATAATATTGTGTGAAGGTGGATCTAATTTTAGGAGGTTACAGGCAGGAAGAAGAATTGTCACAATCAGTCTATTTGTTTTATTTTCCTATTGGGGGAAATACATTTGAAATATGTATGGAATAATATTAGTAGATAAAAAAATCGCTAGTGATCTTGTCTGTATGTGATGCATTTCTGTGAAACATTATTCTTAAACACCTTTTAAAAATAAAGGAGCACAACTAAATACTGTATATATTCATTTAAAAAAATCTATGTATTCTTGCTCAACATATTTATATTTTTCCTTCGGTTTAATCACCTCATGGCTTTTGGTCTTTTAAGATCACCTATACACTATTGTACCCTTTAAATCATAATGCACCAGTTAAATATTTGTTTTACCTTAAGTTCTTGTAGAAGAAAATCCATAAAGTTACCCAGTTTTAGTTGGCTTTTTAAAGCTTTATTTTTTAAAAGTTTAAATTTTTTTTATAATTGTCAAACAGATGTCCCTCATTTCTATAATGCATACTGTAGTGATCCATTTTTTTTTGCACCTTGTGAGACAAAATTCAAGTTAACTTAACTGAATATAATTCTTGCAATTGAATATAATAATTCAATTCTTAATTGAATATAATACCTTCAAAAGACTTTTTTTTTAAAGAAAGAAAAATATCATTTGAAGTCACCTTTTGTGAATGACAAGGGATTAGTGTTCTCATATACACTGAAATGATAGTTGATGGTAAGAGTTGGCCTCCTGTAAAAATTTGAGTATTAAACTAAGGAGAAATATTCTATACTTATTTAGAAAGTAATACATTTTACTTTGTACATGCTTGTTTTAAAATGACGAGGATGTCAAATGTTATGTAAATTAGGCATAGACATCAGAGTCATTTAAAAAACTGTAGTATAATTCCTAATGGCTTAAAATATTTTGATGCTCCTTATAATCCTCACATAATGGCTCATATAGTGTCAATTAAATGGACTAAAATGTGGATTTATTAGATTATGAAGATTGTTTATTATTTTTACATGAAAGTTTTCATGATGCGACAAAATTCTAAATGAAATCTGTCTCCCAAATGAATGCACTGTAACATTACTTAAAATTAAAAAAAAAAGTCTTGAATTTGAACATATTTTTTCTCATTCTCCCAAAGCCCTTTGGGATTTTTCAAATAGTTTTAGAATGATGACTTTGGCAAGTAGGCAAAAATGAACTAGTATTCATGGAAATATACTACAGATTTCAATTCTTCAATTTATTTGAAGCATACTATGCAAAGTTTATGAGTCACTCTTTACTCTTCTCTGAAAACAACCATAATACCTTAAAAACAAAAATTTTAAAAAGCAAAGCTGGGTCGGCAAAGACAATGTATTCCAAATGGCAGATTTACTAATAATCAGATGCTTAGTAAATTTGATTACATGGTGTTTATACGGTCTCTTTTGCTGGGAAAGCAGTTGCTGGAGTTCTCCACAGACCCCTCTATTAGAAGACTTTGCCATGGTATGGAAGTTCAACACATCTGCCAGCAGAGTGCTACAGATGGTTTGACTCATTAGCCTGCAGAACTCTAACGGAACGTCACGAGGAGATCTGGGATCTCGCTTGGACTAAATATTAAGCTTGCCTCCTGTTCGATGTCAATACATTCCTTTAAAAAAAAAAAAAGGCCAAAAAAAAAAAAAGCCAACCCACCCCAAAGTAAAACCAACCCTTAGCCTGTTCTTTTGGGCCTTGGGTAGACTTTAAACGTAGCTCTGGCAAAGATTAGCCATTAATGGAGGTGCCCTCCCCAATTCTGCCAAAGAGCTTTACACAGTAGGCAAATTCACTTCAATTAAATGGTAATTCCAGCCTTGGAAAAATATCTCTGTCTAGATCTAGTGGTACAACCATTTTTGAAATTCCCTGGAACCTATTCAAGCAGCTTTTGGAATTCCAGGCGATAGATTTCGCTGTCTCCTCCTCCACGTACAAGCTTACTTGCTGTATTAAACACATCGACGATCCTATTTCTCCTTCCCCTCCCCGCCCACTGATTTCCTGGCCCGCTTATATTTTAATTTTGTTTTGTTTACTGTTTGTTTATGAATTAGCCTCAAAATCAGGGCAACAAGCCGCAGCAACCTGAGAGGTTAGTTAAGTTTGGCAGTAGAAACAGCAGGGGGAGCTCATACTGTTTTATGTTGTTGTTTCCTGGGCTGGCTGGGTTATTATCCTAATTATTATTGTTGTTGTTTGGTTTTCTTTTGTAACGTACATGCTTAGAACATAGATAATGACTAAATGCTGTATTATTGCAATTTTAGGTCACCCAAGGTCAACATTTGTTCTTAAATTGCATGGCCCTGTTAGGATCCCAGGAAAATTAAGAGAGAGGACTTGGCAGTGAGGTATTCAGTCCACTCTTTTAACTCAAAGATGAATATTGTTCTAATTTGAGTTCTATTTCTCAGAAAAACTGAATTGCCACATAATCTCTGTGCTAACTTACTAATGTGTTCAGAGTTGAACACCTAGATACCTAAAATCAAAACAATGAGATTTGATGTAGCCTTGAGGATGTAGCTAGTGAGAATTTATTTGATATCAGTACAGGTTTAATATTATCTCTTGTCTTGTTTTAAATTTTACGGTTAATTAAGTGGAAATTATGAGTAGCATGTAATAATCCTCTCTTATTCTGCTTCTGACAATCATATAGGCATCACTGGGTATATAATACCAGCTGAAGATTCAGGGAAGACAAAAATTCTGTTTTCTTTCGAAGGAAACTACTAAAACTATCAGGCTTTCAGTGGTATTAACATTTGAGATTTGGGCTTGATAGCTCATAACAGAGCACAGTATTCTAGCGTGTATAAGACCAGACTGGAATTTAGGAGACTGAAGTTCCTTTCTGAATCCACTGATCCCATTTTTGGGACATTGCGTGAAGGACCAAACATTCTGGGGTTTTTTTGTTTGTTTGTTTGTTTTGTTTTGTTTTGTTTTTTGGAGGCAATCGGGTTAAGTGACTTGCTCAGGGTCACACAGCTAGGTCAAATTTGAACTCAGATCCTCCCTACTCCAGGGCTGGCTGGTGCTCTATCCACTGTGCCACCTAACTGCCCCAAAATGTGTTTTAATTCTTGTCAATGAGGAGGCAGTGTACTACAGTGGAAACAGCCCTGGGTTTTTCAATCAGATAACTTGGCTTCAAATCCTGTATTTTATACTTAGGACTTTGGGCTAATTACTTAATCTTCCTAGGTGTCAATTCCTTTATCTGTAAGCAATAGGACTTGCTTTTCTGTAAAACCAAGGGTTGGACTGGATGACTTCTGAGTTCCTTTTCAGTTCTGAATCTATGATCTAATTTTGTGCATTAATGACTATATATAAAATGGTTGGAAAATTTCGGGATTAAGGAGTTTGTAATGTCAAATCCCACTTCTGCCAGAAATTGGTTTTAGGGCAGCTAGGTGGTGCAGTGGATAGAATGCTGGGTCTGGAGTGAGGAAAACTCATCTTCCTGAGTTCAAATGCAGCCTCAGACACTTACTAGCTGTGTGACCCGTGGTAAGTCACTTAATCCTGTTTGCCTCAGTTTCCTCATCTGTAAAATAAGCTGGAGAAGGAAATGGCAAACCACTCTAGTATCTCTGCCAAGAAAACCTCAAGTGCGGTCAGGAAGAGTTGGACACGACTAAAACAACTGAACAACAACAAAGTCAAATTATTTCTCTTGTATATTATCTTTTTTAACTTCACAAGGAAATCCTATGTAATTAAACACTCCATACATTTTTATTTACATTCCTTTGCTTGTGCCTGTCTTACCAGGAGTGACTTTTCCTACCATCTGCACCTATCAAAACCCTTTACATTCTTGAAGGCCCTACTCCAGTGCTTTTTCTCTCTGGGGCCTTCCTTGAGCTTCCAACTAGAAGTGACCACTCCTTCCTTTGTTCTCACTTAGCACTTTGCTTATAGAAGCTCTTCATGTCATTTACCTCTTCCTACCCTCTCTTCTTTTTGTTTATCTCATTTCTCCTACCAAAGACTGTATCTTATTCCTATTTTTAATTCCCATGAAACCTAATGTAGTATCTTGCTCATAATGGCAAAATTATGGTTTTAAGAACAGGGTAGAGAAATTAAGGTTTAAAAATATCTATGTTTAGGAGGAATTTTACGGAATTTTCTATCTTTTTTCCTCTAATAGCAACATTCTTTCAGTGATATTATATGGTTGTGAGTCAAGAAGTACCATAATCTCCAAAAAACTGAGGATGAAGATTATTCAAGGAGCAGTGGAGGGGTTCTTGGGGAGCCTGAATAGGCTGAAACACCTTACAGATAAGACATTACCGGAGAGAAGTGGTATGAAAGATTTCATCAGAGAAACATATGGCCAGATAAAAAGATAGGCTGGTTATCTAGTAAGAACAAGCAGATAACTGATGGTTAGCCCATGACTTCATTGGTAATATCAAGAGAATTCAGTGGCCCTCAGCATGCCTGGGAACCCTTTCTGGCAGATTTATGGGAAGACATAGACAAGATGAATCACATCAGATGGGGGGCAGGCATGGAGAGGGTGCTCTGCATTATTGGAAGGGGTACACATATCAGTGAATTCCCAGATCCATTGGAGTAATGCTCTCAGAATGAAACCCTGCAGAGTAAGTAGAATTAGTTGTACATTTGAGATTCTGCGAATAATAATAATAATAATGATACCTTATATATGTGGAATATCTTTTATTTGCTCTTTGATTTGTGAGTTAGTCAATCTTAGTAACATGGAAGGGCAAGAATTTTGATGGATGAAAACATTACCAATTTTGAAAGCATGTGAAAGTTCAGATTTGTAAATAAGACTAGCTGTAGGCAGGCTGGAAGCTATTTCAGTTTTCTCAGAAGCATATTGGTTTTAAGATTGCTTTCTTGAGGTAGCTTTGAATATGATTTTGTAGGAACCATACTATAAATAACACCCTAATTAAGAAAATATCTATTTGGATACTGGAAAGGATCTGTTTTCTTTTCAGGATGAGTGTCTTTTCTCATTGATGCAGATCTCAATCCCACCACAACATCCCATTTTATGTATTTCTCATCCATGTCCTTTTGTAAACAGAGGGCCCACTCAATGCAATAGAAGGCCTTCTTCTGGTTCTTAGAACATCTCAAGGATACCAAAATAATGATAATGATTAATAATAACTAGTATTTATATAGTATTTTAAAGTTTGCAATGCACTTTACAAATATTATCTCATCTGATCTTCACAATAACCCTGTGAGTTAGGTACTACCATTATCATCATTTTACAGACAAAGAAACTGACTGAGAAAGGGGAAGTGACTTGCCCAGGGTCACACAGCTAGTAAGTGTCTGAGACTGGATTTGAATGAAGATCTTGCTGACTGCAGGCTCAGTGCTCTATCCACTGCACCACGTAGCTCAAACTCTTAGGCAGGCCATCTATTGTCTTTCATTCTTACTATATAACAGGTTCACTCATATGTGCACCTGATGATGTCTCTTATGATAATAACGATTGCTGGTATGTAGCAGTTTCAGGTTTGCCTGCTGCTTTACATATGTCATCTTATTTGAGCTTCACAACTACCCTTAGAGGTATAATAGGTACTATAGGTATTATTATTTGCACTTTATAGAAAAAGAAACTGGGGTTTAGAGATTTTAAGTGACTTTTCCATGGTCACATAGCTCATCAAGCATAATCTGAATCCAAATCCAGTACCCTATCTACTATTTCTCAGGTGCAAGTGAAGATTAGAAATATGCTGTGGCCTGATCACACCCTGGGTGTGTTTTTCCATTTCCCAATTGGGGGACCTACAATTTTAATTCTTCTGGGAAGATGGTATTCTAAGGTTCCTCAATTATATAGTATCATTGTGTAATGCTGATATTAAAAGGCTTTGGGACATAGCAGGCATCTTAGAATGATTGAAAGAATTCTGAAAATTTATTTGCTAAAATTATATGTGTGTATATATACATATATACATATACATGCATACACACACACACACACACACACACATATATATATACATGTATGTATGTAATTTTTTTTCCCATGAGGCAATTGGGGTTAAGTGACTTGCCTAGGGTCAGACAGCTAGTGTCAAGTATCTGAGGCTAGATTTGAACTCAGGTTCTCCTGACTCCACTGCATCACTTAGCTGCCCCAAGAAAATATATATTGTTAAATGTTCAACTATATATGTTGAACTTTTTTACAATAAATGAGTGTGGCAGACCAGTTGTCTTTTTTAAAAAGTCTCAGAGTACAAGGAGGAAAAACCTAGCAATTGCCCAGTTCATAGCATTTTAAATTTAGACCTGGAAGGGACCTTAGAGGAAATCTAGTTCAACTCTCTCATTTTACAGATAAGGAAAGTGAGGCCTGGAGAACTTAAGTGACTTTCCCAAGGTCGTATGGATGAACAAAATAACATAGCCACTAGGACTTCAATCCTTTGCCTCTAATGCCAAAGCCAAGGCTTATTATCCTGTATCATACTGATCTTATACAAAGTTTCTGGGGGGAAAATAGCCTTTGATGCCAATATGGAACTTAGCCAGAGTAGTTTAGTTGTTCAGATCTCTTTTTATGTAGTATATATATTTATCTGTTGGGTTCCCTATTTGTTAAATTCAAGCACCCCAGCACCATTTCTGGTATGAAGGACAAGAATTGTCAGCCCTGACTGCAGATTTCATCTCAGTAAATGCTTCTGTGTAGCTTTATTTAAATGGATGGGGTTCTTTTGATTCTATACTTAGCATTATCACACTTTTTTTGCTCAGTTCAGACAGGCTGGGTTGATTATCATTAAAGTATTATTTATTTCTATTTTATTAAGCCCCTTTTTACATTCATGTTACAGGTTAATTTATACTTTTATTTCATGCACTACTTGGCTTTACTGATTAATATGCCCCATGGCATTCAATAAAGCCAGGCAGTGGAGGAAATAAGAGTGGTATTAATTTCTAACATTGCTATAAATTTGCCTTAATAAAACTAGCTCAATAACACTATAGTAGTAATACGATGGATGCCTCCAAATTGTCAGCAAAGATGCCACCGAACAACAGGATTTTTTTGCTCTCCCCTCTTGAATTTAACATTACCAAATACCTTTTTCTTGGAGTATGGAACAGAAACCAACCATGGCTATAATATATTCTTTTTTTCTCTTTCAATGGTAATCTAATAGTTGACATAATACTCCCCTACACAGCTTCCCATCTGACTTAATCTAGCAGTCCTTATCAAGTTTCTCATGCAGATGAACACAGGTTCATAGGTCTCTGCAAAAAGTCAAGTTTTATTCATGTATAAATTTTAACAAAGATTAAAATTATATCTCCAACACTGATACAATCTTTTTTTTTTAGGGTTCCAAAGTCCATTGCTTTCAGAGAGATTACTACTGTGAAATTTGTAAACATGAAATTGGTGGAGAGAATGTATGTCCTAGAACATCCTATGGTAAGTCAAAAGTATTAGGAGTTGACTGGGGAATTCCTCAGCTGAGAAAAGGACACCATGACTTGGGTCTTGTATCTCATATCTTTCCTTCTAGCCCTCAGGATACATTTGTTCAAATAAATTTAGCAAGAAGATTATCAGGAAGACTGGAAAAGCTAAGGCTCACTGTCTCTGTGAATTTCTGGTGGAAGAAAGCAAATATATGAAATATGTTTTTTATTTTTTAGTTCCTTTGTTAAGCAGCTAAGACTATTTATTAACGCAAGTTGGAAGAGAAGACCTTAAGTTTGGTGATGCGAATAATTTGACAAACATTTAAGCCAATTTTCTATACATACAGGAAGTTCTATGAAGTTTTGAGGACGTATGTGAGGGCAAGAGGAATCCCAGTCCTGGGCCCTCCTTTGGTAGGTTCAGCCAACTTGGGAACCTCAGAGAGCCAGGATCAACTGGTTCCAGCTCCTTAAAAACTCTAAGCAAGGGGTGGAGACTCACTCTCTCCTGGCCAGTCCTTGGGGATAAATACTTTTGTTACCCCATGACAAGAGGCATGTTAAGGCAAAGCAATGAAGCTTCAAAAACCTATTGACCTTGTTATGTTATCAAAAGAGCTCAGTTTTTAACATTCCCTCCAAGGGAAAGAAGGCAACATATTTCTTCTCTGTGATTCATACATTACTCAGAAATTCTTAGTGCTCTCTCAGCCCTAACTTTCAGACAAAAGTACAAGTGTAGCTGATTTATCCTGAGGGGTTCCATCTGCTTGAAAGTGAACAGACACCTTTACATGGCCAATTAAAAACAAAACAAAACAAAACAAACTAAAACAACACCTTGTACTTTACAGATCACAGGACAGAATTAAAGATGCAATAAAAAATAACATGGATAAAATCCAAGAAAATAATTGTGACTAGATCTTGCAATCAAGATTATCACTGGAAATTCAGCTGACTAGATTCCTGAACTCTTCTATGAGTACTTTTTCACTTACATTCATCATTCACAGAGTCTGTGTCCAAGAAGGGTCCCAAACAAAATTATGGAATGTTTCCTTTCTGTTTCTTTCTTTCCTCTCTCGTCATTTCCATCCTCATCTCTCACTCTCACCCCCATTTTTTGCAACAGCACTTTAGTCTTCCACTGATTTCCTATAGCCTTGTATTCTCCTGCAGGAAGTGATCTGATAAATGTATTTATACCAGGGTGTTAGTAACTTATCTCTAGAAAGATACCCCACACATCCCCCCTTTAAAAAAAACTTTTCATTTTCCAAGGCAATTATAGAAACAGGACAAACTTAGCACAAAAGAGTGAATTATGAATGATAGAATTTGAGAACTCAGTGGTGGAAATGTTTTGGTGTGGGAAAATATTTTGGGGGGCATACTTTCCAAGTTCTTTAAATCCCTACTAATCAAACTATATAGAGGACGGATAGCAGTTCTACCCATGTGAAAAATTTTTGTCTAGTCAGCTATATAGTGGGTCATCTTGCCATTCACACTAGATATACTGGTAAATTTTAACCTTGATCAAATTGACCTAATGGAATATATTTTTGATTCAGACAACATGAATTCAGATCTATTAACAGTTTTGAGCTGTTGAGACCAAATTTTCATTTGCTTAGGTTCTGTGGAGGCCTCATTTTCAGGTGACTGCTGAGCCATTTTTGAAACCTTGGGCTTCACAAGTCACAGAAAAATCAGAGAGACAAAAGAATCCTATTTCCACTGTTTGCAAGGTAAAACTATCCCTCCCTAAGGATTGTAAGTTTCTTTCTTTCTTTACCTCCACTCACCCCCCCAATAAAAAAAAGTATAAAGGGACTTCAAGGGAAAATTATCTACCCAGGGTCTCTCATAATGTTTGAAAGTGTTAAAAGCACAAAGGAATGCAAACACAAGAAGAAAAACAAAAATCTAGGAGACTTGCAGCTGTACTAGCCCCACAAAGTTACTTTTCCAAAGAGAAAACCCTTCAAAGCCTCCAAGAAGGTCCCTTGCATATTTTGGCCTGATCTTTTTAAAAATAGAAACTTTGGGTGGGGCAACGATCAGACAATAATTTAATTGTGAGCAGCAGAGGCATTATTTACATAGAGAAGAGCGCTGGCTTTGGAAGGAAAGGAACAAGCATTTATTGTTGTTTATGTGCCAGGTGCTATGCAAAATGCTTCATAAACATTCTTTTATTTTATCCTCACAACAATTCTGAGAGGTATTTCCATTTTACAGTTGAGGAAACTGAGGCATTCAGAGATTGAGTGACCAGATTTACATGGTTAGTAAATATCTGAGGCTGAATTTGAACTCAGATCTTCCTAATTTTAGGCCCAGTGCTCTATCCACTGTACCGACTAGTTCCCAGAAGAGGAAGAACTAAGAAGACAAATGTTTAACTCCCGTCTGTATCATTACTTAGCTGTGTGTTCTGGGACAAGTCACTTAACCTCACTGGGCCTCACTTTTCTCATCTGTAAAAGAGAAGTTAGACTTGAAGATCAACATCTTCAAGATCCCTTAGAGCTTCTGATTTAACTGACCAGATTTACGCTGTATATTCAGAGCACCAAGTGAAGCAACAATGTATTGTCAGTGAAGTTTAGATGTTTGTTTAGCTAGCTGAAGGACCCAAAGGATTTTTAATCATTGTGGCCTAAACTTATGCTTTATTTTGGAGGTGACATGGTCATAGACCTTTTTTTAGAAAGCCTACTACAACCGTCTATTTGAAGGGGATAGGAAAAAAATCTAGCTTACTCTCTTTTAAATAAGTCATTACAAAAGGGATTTATTCTCATTAGGTTATGGTCAGTTAAAACTCCTATAGTTCCATAGATTTAGAAAATTTTCCAAATGAAATGGAAAAAATCAAGTTGAATTGGTATATATATTGAGCTGAAGACTATTTCTATATACTGGGAAAATGAAGTCTATTTTTTAGTATGTACCCTCCCCATTCTAAGACTTTTTTTTTTTAACTTTTTTTCGGATTCTTTCAATTACCTAAGTACTTACAGAGAAGCACCGTTTCAGCCAAAGTCTGGGATAGTCAAATATAAATGACATGGTCAAAGATGAAAGCGAAGTCTACAGGACTGAATAACAGTAGTATCTTGGGAAACATTTTCACTTTTGAAAGGATCACAAAACTCAGCATTATCAATGTGTGAAAACATTGACACTTCAAAAATATATGACTATTTTCTTATGGTGTTATTTGTGGAAGGTCCATAGGATGTGTTTTATACTTACAGTTGATCATTTGAAGAAGTAATAGGCATGGGTTTGCAGATATCTGTGTAGAAATAAAAATCTGCGTATATATACAATGTAAATAATGTATTTTATTTGCTTAAGGTGTAAACATAATAATGATGAAAAATGTGAGACAGATACTTCGAACTTCATTTCTTAATGATGTGCATTAAGCTTAAGAAATGAGCAAAAGAGGCAATGCTGAAACACATACATGTATAGCATTGTATCTTCACGTATGGGGCAGCTAGGGATCACAGTGGATAAAGGGCTTGGAACCAGAAAGACTCATCTTCCTGACTTCAATTCTGGCCTCAGACACTTACTAGCTGTGTGACCCTGCGCAAGTCATTTTACCCTGTTTGTCTCAGTTTCTTCATCTATAAAATGAGCTAGAGAAGGAAATGGCAAACTACTCTAGTATTTCTGCCGAATGAGGTCACAAAGAGTTGGATATGACTGAAACGACTGAACAACATAGATGCATCTCCCTCCTTTGAGGGTCTACCTTAAAGAATTGCTACTTTTTGAAAAACAGGTATATTATTTGCTTTATGCAGGGAAACACAGCATTCTGTAGTATGACTTATACTGTCCTTTGTGCCATTATTAATACATTTCCTGTTTAAGGAAATGGCTTTTTCTTTTACATGATAACTGAAAATTCAAAATAAATTCTATTAACTTTTATAACATCTTATCTGACCATGGCCTTGTTGAGTATGGGCACTAAATGAAGAATGGAAAATGCTTGTCACCAAAGCTCCATTGTCATTAACTCCTGACTAATTAGACATTTTCCCTGGTGAGTTTGAGTGGCTCATATTTGACTTTGGACTGTAGCCTTTAGGAAAAAAAAATGTTTTTGGTAGGGGGGAGATTAAAAAAAGGAAAGTAAACCTTAAGGAGAAAGAAAAAAAGCCTTTTACTTTTGGTTTAACATTTGAATTGATACAAGTTAAAAATGTTCTTCTTTCTACCAAATATACAAATATTATTATTTAAAAATATAAACAAATAATATAAATATAAATATGAATTAAAAGTCTATACCATATCACAATTTTTATTCTAGGATTAATAAGAATCAGATTACTATCTTCAAGCAGTATTCTGTTCTACCCAAGTATTTTTCTATCACTTTTTCTTTGATGATTGCTTTATTTAAAAAAACAACTTTAATGATATTTTTTGTTTTCATATAACTTTCATTTCCAAACATATTCCTTCCCTTACCCAGAAAGCCACACTTTATATGTATATATGTACTTATATTTATATGAATTTTAAAAAAGTAATTTGGCCAAACTAATGAACATTGGCTGTGTGACAGTATCTATAATGTTTCATAACCATAGGCCCCCACCTTTGCAAAGTGCATTATGTTTGCTTCCTTTTAAAAAATTACTTATTTAGATCCACTATCACCATTACTTCAGTTATAAAATTAAGCATAGAAAATATGAACAACAAAGGTAAAAACATTATTGGGTTGTTGGTTCACTTATGTTACATATTAAAGGAATGTTTTTATGAGTAAATATGTAATTTTGGGGAAATTTTAAAATATTATTATTTTTTTTAATGAAAAAAGAAAAAAGCCCTATGGCAGAATTTGTTGTAATCCTTTTTTTCTTTTTTTTTGGGAATTTGTTGTAATCTTGACTGTAACAATCTATGTTTAGAGACAGCTAGGTGGCGCCATAGTGCACAGAGTGCTC